CCCCCCCCCCCTCGTGGTACAACTAATAATGCACTGGGACGGGGGGCTAGAGGGGGGAAAGAGCGAGAGATAGGAGGACGAGCTGTGGGGTGTTTCTTATTCGACACACTCCCCCGTAACCCCTCGTTTCTTATGTAGTAGGGCAGCGGTCGCCGCTGTTTCTTGTTGAGACATGTCTCATTGTATGACCCAGACTGAGCTATTTTTCTTAACCCTATTTTCTTATGTTTCGTGGAAAAGTGAGCCTCTATTTCTTAACAAAATATTTCTTAACAGCGGGCGCTACCTGTGCTATTTGGTGACGGATATTTGACAGCCTACGCCTTGCTTTTGTGTTGTTTAGATTTTTCGTGTGCATAATGCATATGTTTTTTGTTAAGCAACAGCTTGCATCTCTTCAATCTCTCCCGCCGGAGATGGGCTGACCGGCGCTACTGCTGTACCTCACGGAACCCATCCAAATACCACACACGGGCATTAAACACAACGCGTGTTTCGTAACTGCTGCACATAGCATGTTCGTGAAGTATTGCACCTAAATATGCCTGACTGTGCGTGGTGGCTTATGTTCTATGTTCGTGCCAACCAAAACCTAAGCATCCATCCTGCACAGTGCCTGCATTGATCGAAAAGAGTATGTTGTGATCCCTGACCAATATCACGCCTCCTTCTTCTCTTATCGCTGTTTGTGTGAGCTACTGTACGTACAATGCGTACAGAAAACAACGCAAGATACCACTCCCCCGGTGATGACATTACGGCATTTAACGGTAGTCTGGTCTACGCATGTTTTCCTAAGTAAGCAAGCAATACTGGATAAAGTATAGAATCGGCCAATTTAGGGTTAGGGTTAGGGTTAGGGTCCTGGTCTCTTTTCGCAATGACCTTACCTTCTTTGCGTAGACAGTCAGCATTTAAATAGAAGGCTGTCATCTGAGGTAACATTTTTGTAGGGGGTGTGGTATCTTCCGTCAGTGCTTCGCTTTGTGCTTCATGTAGTTGCAAGAAGAACACCTCCGGGTTTATGGTATTCTGGATGTTTCTGGAGGATGCGCGCTTTTTCGTTTAGATGTATCATGTCTTGGGTCGCTTGCGATACGTGGTGGGAAAATGCAAGTCAGGAATACGTTCGGGAACTCTTGTTATCTTCAAGGTGGACGCGCATATGTTCTGGAAACTGATCGCGGTTGTGCGTGCGGTGCCCGATCTGAACAGAGGCAGAAAAAGGAGTACCATGATTTGTATCTTCCGACAATTTCCTGCGACCAAATGTCATGTTTTTTTACCTCGTTAGTCTGAGGAAAGGTTGACATGCTTTCCTGTCATTCGACGTGGCGCATCATGCCCGAACACACAACCGCTTGTCAGGAGTGCAAGGTGACCGACCAGAAGCGGACGGGCCGTTGCTGGATATTCGCGGCGCTCAACGTCATGCGGCTCGGGATTATGAACAAGTTTAGCCTGGCGGACGACTTCGAGTTGGTGAGGGGGGAGAACCATAGTCTTGCGGCGGTTCATTGCCTTTATGACGACTCCGAGCAAAGTGCTCAAGTACGGCGGTGCGGAAGCAACAGTAACATGTTGTTTCGTGTGGTCTGTTCTTGTTGTCGTCGTCGTCTTCACGACAGAGTAGCGGTGTGACCTTTAAACGTAGGAAGTCATTCATGTATCCGCACGGCAGCAGCCGTGGTGATCGCCTTGAGTAGCGCCGCCCCCTGCCTTTGGCGCGGATTCGGCGAGACGCAGCCCGATCTACGTCCCATGAAACAAACATGCTGGATGTGAAGGCAACCCCGCCACTGCCCTCCCCTCCTTCGTTCTATGCAAGCATTGCCGAGGACGCCCCCTTTCCCTCAAATGCTAACCCAGCACCCCCCTAAACGTCGTGCGCTCCCCTGTTTGCCCCTGCCCAAAACACAAACAGTCGCAGAGCTACCTGTTTTTCTGGGATAAGTTGGAGAAGTGCAACTACTTCTTGGAGAACGTGCTGCTCACCAAGGACAAGCCCCTGGATGGCCGCCTGCTGCAGCACCTCCTCAAGGAGCCCATCTGCGACGGGGGTAAGCACGCGTCTATCGCTTTCATCCTCTTGGTATTGGTTTTTAAAAGACCAGCAGTTAGCAAGCAACTATTCTTTCGTTGTTGCTGGTGGCTGGCACCTCACGTCTCGGCTTCCTCTGGTGTTTCCATCTGTATATTACCAAAGCGCTGTAAATTTCTGAAAAGTTTTGAGTGCGGCCGTTCGGAGCTTCTTATCGTCTCTTGGTTGCGGCTTTCCTCCCCGCTGTGCGTCTTCGTCGTCGCCGTCATCGCCGGTGTGGTTTGATTTTTTTCCTTTGCTGATTTGTCTTAGTCGCTCTCTACTCCTTCTTCCTGTCGTTATTTTGATCGTTCACTCAGATTGGTAGGCTTTTGTCTGTGTTGGTTGGCACGATAAGTGTTTTTTCTTCTTTTTTTCTGAGTGTTGCCCTCGGTCGTTGTCTTCGGCGGTCTCGTCTGCCCCACGTCTCCCCTCGAACCGCCATCCCAGGCCAGTGGGACATGGTCACCAACCTCATGGGCAAGTACGGTGCCGTGCCCAAGAGCGTCTTTCCCGAGAGCAAGACCTCGATGAATTCCGTCTGGTAAGCGCCGACACCGCATCATCGTCCCTACGCCCCGTCCGGTCGCGGTACATGCACGTACGCGACAAGAGGGCAGTATGCCCTACCGTTTTCTGGTCCCGCCGCAGGGGCGAGTGTTCGCGAAACTCCTGCTGCGTTTTTTGCACCACGTACGCGCAATAAGACTGTCACAACGAAAAACAAACATGCAGGGAGCACGTCTGCCTTTCTACCCGCTGTCGCGACATACTTTTAGCACCTTCCCTCTATCCACTCAACTGATGTGCGGGCTGTCGAACGATCACCACACGAAGGATGTCTACCTTTCTACCGACTACTGTAGCGGGGGTTGGGTATCGTGTACTTCGCGCGTGCCCCTGAGTACCTCGTGTCAAGGGTACGCGTGGGTTTCGAGTGCGTCTTGAAACCTCCGAAAACGGTACCGTATCATATTTACATATACGGCACAGTAGCATCAAAATTTAGATCAGGCACTCGATTGGAATGGTTCGATAGGCTCCCCAATAGCCGCGTGGGCCGTGGGCATTGCCAAAGCGGACAGGCGAACCTGCTGCGTGGAAGCGCGTCCCCGGCTCGAGAGATTTTTTTGCTTTCTGGTTCCCCGACGGAACTCATGTGCAGCTTACGGATGACGCACTAAGCATCTTGTGCGTCGTGGGCGACATGAGCTATTTTTTGGTGCGAGGTTCGATGACTGATGCGTTACTTTAGTGTTCTACAAATGTGATTGGCTGCATGAAGACTGGTGCGGGTAAATAGATGCGTCGAGAGCCCCGTGTGGCTGATATTTCCCCACGTTGGCGTTATTCTGTCGGGGTCCCCGCCCGCGACCGCAGGGTGAACCGATTCCTCACGGCCAAGCTGCGGGAGTACGCGCTCAGGCTGAGGGGCATGGCGGGAAAGGGAGCGGTCGAGGCGGACCTGCACAAAGCAAAGGCCGACATGATGGCCGAGGTGTACAAGGTAAGGTACGGCGGCGACCTCACGCCGGGGGTGGGGGGGGGTGCGTGTGTGTAGGTGTTTTCTTGCCGTTTGCGGCAGGCGGGCAGTGTGGGCGTGTTGCTGTCATGGTGACAACTCTCTTTTCGAGATCGTCACGTACGCACGCACACAAGCTGTAAGCACAGCCGCACTACTGAGTGTGGACAGGGTGAAAGTAGGACACGGCTTGTCGCCAAGGGGAAGCCGGCGAAAAAATGTGTCCGCTTTTCGGTGTTGCCATGTCTTTTTTCGTGCATAGCGCACGGGGCTATTGTCTTGCATTTCGAAGCTAGTTTGGGGTAGAACGTAGCACACGCTCTCCCCAATTTGAAAACCAATGACAACGTCTTTTGTCTCCGAAAATGGGTTTCTTTTCCGTTGTCGGCTTCCATAGCACAAAACATATACATGATACAAGTACATGCCGCCTTCGTGTCATGAATGTATATCTCTCTGGTGGCAGAGACCTATTATCCTTATGTGGTCTTTTTCTGTTCGTAGGCTGGCAGTTTTCGACGGTTGTACGAAGCACCCGGAGCGCTGGTAACCCTCTACACACACGTAGCACACACACCCTCCCTCACACGCGCGCAAGTTCACCAAGAGACCTGAACTCTGTCGTCTCACAGGACATGGGTAGAACAATGAACTTCCCGCGATGAGAGATGAAAGAAAGGGACAAACGAAGAATCGGGCGTGGTCAAGAGCAGCCGAATTGCGTGTCTCGTTTACCTTGTAGGTTACAGCTTCAACCAACTTCGCCGTACGGTCTCGCCTCTCTCACTTAAAGAGCTCCGATCAGAAGTAGCATCACCACTCCGCCCCATCCCGGCATTATCGGGATTCGAGGTCAATGGCCTAACGACCACGACGTCATCCGTTTACATAAGTACCTTCCTCCCCCAATCTCCTTTCAAACAATCTTCCACTTTCCTCCCGACACTCCCCCCCTTCTTGAGGTTCTCTCCGTGCACTTCGGAGCAGTGCCAAAGCCGGACAGCAAGTTCGAGTGGGCCATTACAAACAAGCACAAGGCCTTCAAGCGCGAGGAGCACACCCCGCTGGGGTTCTACAGGGACCTGGTGGACACCAAGGCCGACCAGATGGTGTCCATCATCCACGACCCGCGAAATCCGTACCGCAGGTAAGTGCGGGACGGAAATGGGGACCGGGGTGTTTGCGGTGCAACCCACCTAACGTCGTTTCCGTGAGTCAGCGAGTCCGTCCGTGGTGTGCGGTTGTTACGTGGGTTCGGGGTCATGGATTACACCGATTTTTGCCCTCTTCAGTGGAAACCTGGGTTGGCGTTTTTGCGGCGGGGGATGGGTGGGCGCTGGGAGGCCGCGTCGCAGAACGGGTGCTGTAGTGAGTGATTGGATGGGCGCAAGGCAGAAATAGGCTTCAGGGTTGGTAGAAGTGAACGTGAAACGGTCCCTCTCGTGGGTGTTTTCCGTTGTAGGCGGATTCTAAAGAACGCTATTCTCTGGATGTAGGATGCGTTTGGTGATGCAACACGCAGGAGGCCGTGGCAGCGTCAGTGCCGCTGTCTTCGTCGCTCAGGAAGGGAGCACGAAGTCAGCTAGCCCTCCTATTCAGGTAGCATACTTCCCCCTTTCCCCCTCAGAGCAGTAGTCTGTCCAGTTCACAGTCTACATAGCCTGTGACTCTGTGAACCAGACTCCTGTGAGGGGAAGAGGGGAAGCGAGTTGCTGCCATGGAACCCAGCCCGAGGAGTGGGTTCGTGTTCCGTACTTGGGGCAAGAAAGGTAGCGGTAACACCGAAGCCCACATCCAAGTTCAAACTGAATAGCTTCGTCCGAGTATCGCAAGCAGGCACCATCATTTTTAATGCTTGCCGGCGGGTCTAATCGCGTCCTCCCCCTGCTGTGTCAATCTCGTCCTCCCCTCCTCGTTTTGTGTTGGCCGCCAGGTCGTACTCCGTTAGCTACCTGGGAAACGTCGTCGGCGGGGACATCGTTCGATACATCAACCTGCCCATCGAGGAGCTCAAGGTGACCGCGTGGCCGCAGGGCTCCCACACCGTCTGTTGTAGAAGGGTCTATTGATTACCACCCTTGGTTGCTACGGCAGACGCCGTCGCGTTGAAAACCGAGAGACAAAAGGAGACTTGAAAAAAATTGGCTCTATGTTGTTGTTGTTGTCTTCACATCAAAACCGTTCCGATCTCTCTCTACCTAGTACCTTCGTATGTCCGTACTGACCCAACACTCGACGCGGTCGATTCCCGTGGTCACAGGTTAACTTACCCTAACAAGGTACACTCAAGTAAACTGGCCCCGAGGGGTCCGCAAGTCAACAGAAATCAACGACAGATATTCTGGAGCCCTCCAATCTCTCTGCGCGCTATGCGAGGTAACAACTGAGACTAGGAGTCACCATCACGGGCCGGAGAGAATGAGGCACACCCCCTTGATTCTTTCTTGGTACTTCACAACGCAAGCAGAGACAAGGCCATCTGGCACAGTAAAAGAGAGAAAAAAAAGAAAACAGAGAAAAAGAGGAAAAAATAAAAGGAAACAGTAAGGAAAGAGAAACTGAAATGATAACGAGCGAGAACAAAAAGGGACCGGGCGGGAAATAACAAGAACAACAGACAGAAAAAGGCACACGGTGAAGAGACCACTAACGAACAAGCAAACACGCAAACATGGCCACCAACCAGCGATACAATGTAATGGTACGTCATCACTAGTGGGGGGTTGGTGCAAT